TTTCCACTTCTGCTCCCGCTTTGGCTTCCGCTTTGCCTCAACATCCACTTTTACTTCAAGTGCTAGCACCTCCCCGTTCAACTGTTCTTGCGAAGGTGATGTCATTGTCAGATCCTGATGTGCACGATGCTTTGATTTTAAAGGTGATGATGCTTGCAACTATTGCCACTTGCTTACTGTAAGCATCAGCACCGCACTAGCGGCATCGGAGAGGCGGCGGCAGCAACAGCAGCAACAGCAACAGCAACAGCAGCAGCAGCAGCAGCAGCAGCAGCAGCAGCAGAGCATCAGCTCCAGAATCAGGTTGCTACCACATCTACACGTACTTCGACTACTACTGAAGCCACTCCAAGTACTGCTGCTGCTGCTGCTGCTGCTGTTCTTCCTACTACTGCCACTACACCATGAAAGTTGTTGCTGTTGTTCTGGATACCCCATGCTCCAGCATTTTTCATCAGGATCCTCTCACCCAAGCAAGCTCTCACATTTTGGATTGAAGTGACAGGTTGGCTTCACAGCACCTCTGGTGCTGAAGCAGGGGGACGAGCCAGGAAAGCTTGCCCGTGACGTGGACCTGTCACCTGGCTGCCTCACTGTGAGAAGTGCACCTAAAAGAAACAGTATTGTATGAGTAGTTGAGTAGGAAGTATGAGAAAAGGCAATCATCACAGTGCCCTATAATATAGTACTAGGAGCAAAACAGCTGGTTCATGTTATGCTCACTGTGACTTGCGTCTCGGGGCGGTGCTGCTGATATCCACAAGTTGTGGATGAGGTACCTCGAGCTGTTCCCTGACCAGCACTGGTCCATGAGCAGCTACGACCCGAAAGAGCGCAAGAAGCTGGTAACACACGCGGAGGGTGCAGCCCAGACGGCACATAGTTTTGTTTGATGCGGTTGTGTTCATGAGCTTCCCAATCACACTTTGGAGGTTGGGATAATGGAAAATAAAATGGAAACTACTATAGTATATTGGGTTTGTGTAGGGATAATGGAAAATAAAATGGAAGCTACTATAATTACAGCGGTTATATGCCCTATTATGGTTTTCCGTAAGGATGTGGATATGAGCTTTGTGGAGCCGGAGCTCCCCTCACTGGACCTTGAGGAGGTCCTGCTGAAGCTGGAATGAAACAACGCAAAGCCTTTGGCCGTTTAAGATGGAGTTATAATAGGGTATATAAATCTGTAATTGTAGCAGTTTCCATTTTATTTTTCATTACCCCTACATAACCCCAATAAACTCTAGCAGTTTCCTTTTCATTTTCTGTGATCCCAATATAACCCCAATATTACCCCAATTGGAGTGGCATGTGTGAGCTGAGCAGGTGCGCCAGCGCTGTGATGAGGATGTGTTGATCGAGCGCTTGTATGCACTTCGGCTGCCAGATGTTGCTACGTGTGCCGGTTCAGCTGAATATAGAAACCAAAATGCCATAAGACTGTAATCCTCATTTTTGGGACCCCCCAAAATGGTACCCTCAATTTTGGGAAATTCTGATCCCTGTATAAACCCTTATTGCTCAGGCGCCTTTCTCCAAGATCGGCTTGCCACTGCAGCCCCGATTCCGGACTGTACGGCACATTCTTCGTGGAGAGAAGGAGGTTCGTTAGGGGGGCAACGGAGAGAATGTAGAGTGGATGTGTGAAGGTCAGTGCAAGCCCCCGGGGTGCGGAGGTTCTCGCGCGAGTTGCAGCTGAAGAAGATGGCACCAACAGCGGCTACCTGTTCAACCCCGCGGTCATTGAAGCTAGCTTACATGCTTTGTAGATGTACACAACTGCTATGCCTGTAGGCAGCCGTTGCCAGTCTCGTTGTCATCATCATCGCTTCTGTGCTTGCTGGTAGTGTCTTTGTCTTCGGCGCCAAGGACGGAACATTCCAGGGCAGCATGGCTCTCATGCTCCAGCGCCACACCACAAAGATTGACGGTCTCAATTCTCTGCGGATTCCTCTCATGGCCCAGAGCGTCACGCATTATGGGCAAGGACTCCGAAAGTACGTGAGCAATCTGGGGATAATGGAGAAGGCAATGGAAATCATCATAGTATATATTGGGGTATATAGGGATGACTGAAAAGAAAATGGAAACTACTATAGTCTATATTGGGTCAAGTTGTGCAATGCAATCATAAGATGCCATGGTTAGGAGTCGTTGAGAGGTTTAGGCATTGCCTGCTTTGACGCGCAGCAGACAGGTCCACAGGATTCCACATGGTCGAAGCATTCCTCGCCCTGCACAGGATCCCAGACCGACATCTTCGTCCACCACGAGCTGGTGGAGATTACTGACAGAGAGAACTGCGTCAACTCCAAGCTCTGCAAGCAGGAACAAGGGGCTTGTGTGCATTTTATGTGGAAGTCACTCCTTGTGCTTTTTGATCTATGTTGGGGTGCATTTCTTCGGAGAGATCAGTGGTCCGGCAAGCTCGCGTGCTTGTTGGAGCTTCACTCAGCATGCAACAGGATGGAACAGCCTTGATGGGCTTCGAGAACATGAGGCGAGATTCCCGGAGTTGGTTGCATCTTGAGGAGTATCAGCGATTTGTGGTCATGCTGCGGGGGGCATGAAATTGCATGTATCGGCGAACGGTGAGCGGTCAAGGGTCCTGTTCAGCACCGTTTGTAGTCGCAAAGTACAATGTCTGTGCTCGCAGTCCTTGCTCAGGTTTCGCGAAGTGCGACCCGAGCACATCGTGTCTAAATCGCAGTAGCAAGGTTTTTTGCTGGGAGTGATTGCTCGTTGCTGTGGTGGTGCGGATTGTGGTGCTGGTGGTGCTGATGCTTCTGGTGCTGTTCTTCTTCATGTTGGTGGTGGTGGCGGCGGTGGTGGTGGTCGTTGTCAGTAGTACGGCTGCAGAATTAGCTGGATGAGTATTAGCAGGAAGAGGGCGAGCTGTGGGAGCGTAGGAATAAGTACGTAGTAATCATTAGGAATCATAAGAACTCGGTAGGAAGAACGCATTTGCAGCTAGTGATCGTGTGAACAGGGAAGTGGCAGGTGGCAATAGGTTATGGCACGTACTTAACAATTCGACAGAGGAAGTCACCATGGTCGCAGTAGGGGCCTTGCCCTCGGTGCAACGAGCATTGCTGTTGTAACTAGTCATTCTGTAGCGGCAGAAGTAGGCGTTGTAGGAGTGGTGATTGTAGCTTTGCTCCGTATGCCCTTTAGACGTAGACGGGCTGAACGCTTCCTGTTTTACAAGCCTCTTCTGCCGGAAGCCTCAAGGCGAAGATGCTCCAGCAAGCCACCGACGACGTGGAGGAAGACATCTTGGAGGTGGAATGGACGGCTATGGAAGGAAAACTTGGGGAGGTCAAGGACCCCACTGGCAAGGGCATCACATTTGTTGGTGTAGACCTCAGGAGAGGACGTTCATTCGCACATCAGCCGACTGATGTTCGAAGTTTTGAAGTCTTGTCCCTTACCAAACCCTTGTGCGACAACCCTTAGACTCAAAGGGTGGGCTGGTAGCTTGAGTTGTCTCGCGGACTTTCTCACTGAGGTGCTGCGCCACCACTTCGTGAAGCTCTGGCCAAGCTCTGCGAGGCTTGGAACTCTTTCTTGAAACCTTGCGCCAGGTAAGCACAAGCACGACCGAGTCTGCAGGCCAGCACTTTTGTGGACACGGCGGTGGACATGGCCTTCAAGGCTGGCACCAAGGCTGTGGTTCTGGTCGCTGCTCTGGAGGACCGCATGGAAACAGCTGGGTGGCACAGTTGGCTTTAAGTGGAGGTTCCCCATAATAAGGGTATAGTATCTTGGGGTCTATATTGGGGTCCCCTTATTTAGGGAAACTACCAAGTCGTTGATTGCCAGGATGCAGAGCTGCAGGTGCTGCAGGAAGCTGTGGCCTTGGCGCAGGCGGGTCGACCGTCCTGCACTGTCACTGTTTGTCTATATTGGGATAATGGAAAAGAAGCTGGAAGCTACTATAATGGGTTATATGGGGATTGTAGGGCGCCAATAATGGAGAATCAAATGGAAAAGAACATGGAAAATTAAATGGATACTATGGTGTTTTGCTCATGTTCCACGGCAGCAACATGGTCAGTGACAGGCTGCCATCGCGGTCATCGCCAAGGGTGGAGATGCTCCACAGATCGCCTACATCACCTACGGAACACAGGCAAAGCCACATATGCCCGGTTTCCCCGTGTTTGTGATGTGTACATAGATGAAGCTTGCTGCGTTGATGACGTCCGTAGGATGTGGCTGTGAGCAACGGGGCCGGCAACTACCTGCACGCAGGCAGGATAGCTGTCGCAGTTTGAAGTATTTCAAAACTTGACGTTAGCCAGCCACTGCACTGCTTTTAAAACTGCGTGCAGGCCTTTGGGGCCTGGCACGGACAGTGCGCATGGAGGAGCGATCAGTGAAGCTCCGCTGTGTGGACCTGGACTCGCATGATCCTGAATCTGCCGCAAAGTCAATCTTCGCACAGCTGGGAACTCTCACCGGGCTTGGAGCTGGTGGAAACGAGACTGAACTGGCTGCCAGGGAGAGCACCCAGGTGTCTCGGCTTTCCCGCAGCCAGGTGCAAGTCCAGAAGCCCATGCGCCTGCAGATGTCCTCGAGGGGGAGCTTGTCCAATCTCCGGCCAGTCCCCCAGGCCTCGCGCCCAAAGCCAGGCCCTGAGCAGGTCGAGGTGCGCATTCGAGCAGTTGGCTTGAACTTCAGAGACGTGCTGAATGTCATGGGCATGTACCCCGGAGACCCTGGCAGCTTGGCGAACAGAATGCTAATTACTTGCCAATTGAGGTGCAATCTAGTAGCAGCCCTAATGCCTTGAATAAAGACATTGAACCAACCCAGGCAATCCAGGTGGTGACTGCGCCGGTACCGTTTGCTCTGTGGGTGGTGGTGAGAAGGAGGCAGCTGGCCTTCGGCCTGGCCATGACGTCTTTGGCATTGCTTGGGGTTGCCTGCAGACATATGCCTGTACGGAAGCCCTGCTTCTGGCGCCTAAGCCAAAGTCTTGGTCCTTCGAGCAGATGGCAGCATGGTCTGTGACCTTCGCAACCACAGAAGAGGCTTTCCAAGAGCTGGCGCCGGTGCAGAAGGGTGAGAGGGTCCTGATACACGCGGCCACCGGTGGTGTTGGCCTGGTTGCTGTTCAGTTTGCCCAGCGTGTGGGTGCCACCATCTTTGCCACTGCCGGCAGCCCAAATAAAGTGCAGCACTTGCGTGACATGGGGGTAAAGTACATCACCAGCAGCCGCGATGTGAAAAAGTTCGAAGAAGACATGAAGGCATTCCTCAAGGAGGACGGCGCAAGCGATGGGGTGGATGTGGTTCTCAACTCTCTGAGTCATGATGATTACATCCCGAAGTCCCTGGGCTTCCTCTCCAAGGGCGGGCGATTCATGGAGATTGGGAAGAGGCTTATCTGGAGCCATGATCAGATGCGTCGTGAACGCCCAGATGTTCAGTATGAGAAGATTGCCATGGATTGGGTCATGGAATTCCAGCCCGAGCGCTACAATGTGCTGATGAGACGCCTCGTGTCCCAAATTGAAAAGGGTTGGTGGAAGGAAGTGCCTTTGACGATCTACGACGGCTTGAATTCTGGCATCGATGCGATGCGCTACCTGCAACGGGCGCAGCAAATCGGAAAGGCGGCTCTGCCACGCTGTAGAAGTGTGTCTTCAATTTTCCTTGCCTGTAGAGTTAGTCAGTCTGCGGGGGTCCCCAACCAAGCATGCTACTGAGGTTGTGCTTGCGCAGCCTTCCCGCATGGAGTGCCAAGAGGATGGGTCCTACATTCTCAGTGGAGGAGTGGGCGCATTGGGCTTGGTGACGACCCGGATGATGGCAGAAGAGGGCGCCAAGTCTGTGGTGCTGTTGTCAAGAAGGGGAGTCGTTGGAGAAGACCTCAAAGCCATGTGGGACCAGCTGCAAGACTTCGACATTGAGCTGCTGGTGAAGCCGTGCGACATTGCCAGTTTGACAGACACGCAAGAGCTCGTGGCCGGCCTTAAAGGTAGCTCTGGCTACACAGTGCGCGGCTTCATCCACTTGGCCGCTGTACTGGACGATGCGACGCTGCCGAAGCTGACCAGGAAGCATTTGGAGCGTGCCTACGGTGCGAAGGTGTGGGGAGCAAGGCACCTGCACCTCTGTCTTCAGTCCCAAGCTTCGCCATTGGATTTCGCGGTGCTCTTCTCCTCTACATCTGCCCTTCTTGGTCTGCCTGGCAAGTTTGTTGTGCTCTTTTGCTTTGAGGCCTGGCTTCGGGGGGATTGACGTGAGATGGTTGCTTTACATTTTATTTCCACGGTCTTGATGTGACAACATGACTTGTTGCTTCCATTTTCGTTTCCATTCCTTCATTCCCTACTAGCATGCCGCATGTTTCCCCCCTCCCACACAGCTCGCCAGGTTCGCCCGGGCAGGCCTGGCCTTTTCCGAGTGCAGAACACCTGCCTGCCTGCCTGCCTGCTTACCTGCCTGCCTGCTGTGAGGAATCTGTACCCTAAGCCCTAAACCCTAAGCTAGGGACCAAGTCGTGCCATGGAGAGAAGGTCCGAGAAAAAGAAACCTGAGCTTGGTCAGGGCAACTACTCTGCGGCCAATGCTGCCCTGGATGGTCAAGCGCGCTACTGGAAGGCTGGTTCTGTAGGACTTGAGGCACATAGGTAGCCGTCGCCCATGTGTCTCTTGCAAACTGTATTGGTTCAACTTCTTGTGTTTGCTGAAAGTTACAGCAGACCTTTGCAATGCAGGCCTTGGGTGAGCGCATGGTTTCCGTTCAGTGGGGCCCATGGCGTGAAGTTGGCATGGCCGCCCAGAAGGGGACCGTTCAGCGTCTGAAGGCACAAGGTCTCGGGAGCATCGGCAATGTGGCCTCTTGGCTGCTAAAGCAACACTTCCAAAGACTTGCGGCGACCGTCGTTTCAGCATGTAGCAGCCGGGTATATAGTATTCCTGACTGTCTCATAGTTACTCAAACCTTGAAGCCGTGGCAAGCTTGAAGCCGAGATCGGCATGGCGGCTCTCTCGGGATCCTTACGTGCTTCTGGTAGCGTGATTGCAGCCTGCCCGGTGCACTGGGGGCAATACCTGAAGCAGCCGCTTGGCTAAGTTCGAGCGCATCTGTAGCCTTTGCTTTTTGTGGCCTCAAAAGACAGAAGACCGCGAGCTGGGCAGGTTTGGCAAGTCTGTGCCCTCCTTCTACTCGCGCTCCTTGGATCGCAAGGGAGTTGACTTGGCATGCTGTCTCAAAAGCTGTGGCTTGCATATGTGGTCTCATGGTTGGGCAAGCAGAATTATATTCCACGCCCAAGCTTCGTTATCCTTCTTCAGCATCCATGTCAGGATTCCGCCGAGAAGCCAGCTCCAGCAGCAGCTCCGCGCCCAGTGGTGGCCGCGCACTGGTGCCGGGCGCGATGGCGCCCCGGCCTGCCGCCGTCAGTGCGGATCAGGCGGGGGAAAAGCTGGCAAAGGAGAGCAAATCTGCAACTCTGTTCCATGGCTCAGGTGCAGGCAATGGTGCTTCAGGTGGCCGGGGAGGTCACAGGCACTGCTGTTGGCGCGCAGGACTCGGCCTCACATGAGCGGATCTTTTTTGACAGGGCATGCTGTGACATGTAAGCCTCTGCTTGACCCGAGAGGCTTGCTACTGACTTTATAGGAGCCACTCATGGAAGCCGGAATGGATTCACTTTCAGCAGCTTGGCTGCACAGTCGCCGTCGGATGGCACAGTGTCGAAGTGAAGTTGTTGTTGAATATTCTTCCCTCCGAGGCTGTCGAGTTCCGCAACCGGCTGTCCAACGAATTGCAGGGAGTCAAGCTTCCAAACACACTGATCTTCGATTATCCCACAGCCGCAGCCATCAGCTCCTGGGCGGGAACTTTCTTGAGCCTTCAAACAGAGAACGGAGGTACTACTACTACTACTACTGCTACTGCTGCTGCTACTACTACTACTACTACTACTATGATGATGACTGTTATTAGTATTACCACTATTACTATTATTGCTATTCTTGCTATTATTGCCATTGTTACTGTTACTACTATCGCAGTGCCAACCTGTCACACATAACTACTTGCCCAGGCATGTATGCAGCCTCGCAGTTGAGCCAAATTGCGGGTGCTGGACAGGTTGCTCCTGTGCCGTGGCTGCCAAGATGCGTTAATAACAATAGTAATCTAAAGGCAATCTTAGTAACAATACTAATAACAGTAATGATAGTAACAATAGCAAAAATGGTAATAATAGTAAAAATAGTATTAACCTTTAAAAGTTATAGTAATGATAGCAATAATTTTCAAGTCAGAACTCGCTGGGCTCAGGTGGGGGCGCCAGGAGTCAGCGCATCGCAAGTGGAGGCCCTGGTGTTGGAGATTGCTAGCGAGGTCACTGGCCACGGTGTGGACCCTCAGGACGCTGAGTATGTAGGGATTATACAGGGGTTGTAGAGGGATAATAGAGGGATTATAGAGGGATTCTATAGGGGTTATAGAGGGATTGAATAGGGGGTATATAGGGATTATGTAGGGATTACATGGGGGTTATATAGGGATTAAATATATACATAGTAGCTTCCATTTTCTTTTCCATTATTCCCTATACGTCCCCAATAGTGGCTCAGACTGGCCTTGTGTAGAGCTAGCTTCCTGTGAGTCTTTCGCTTGGCAAACTGCGGAGTGCTACACTCCCCCAAACTAACATGGAAACCCATATAGTACCCTTTTAGAAGGATTGTAGTCTTTATTGGGCCCCTTTTGGGTTTCCATGTTAGTTTCCGGGAGTGTAGTGCCACAGTGCCAGGAGCCTCTCATGGACTCTGGCCTAGACTCTTTGGCAGCCGTGGAATTCCGAAATCGTTTATCAAATGAGTTGCAGGCCAACCTTGAAATCCTGGTTTAGGGTTTGTGTCTAGGGTTTAGGGTTTAGGGTTTAGGGTTTAGGTCTAGGGTTTAGGGAAATGAGTTGCAGGGCATCAAGCTGCCAAATACACTGATCTTTGACTACCCCACGGTTGCAGCCATCAGCAACTACGCCGTGGCCCAGCTTGGGCCCTCGACCTCGGCCGCGCTTCCGGCCATGAGTGCTGGCCCCACCTCGGGTCACTTGGTGGCTGGCAGTGGGGAAACGAAGGAATGGACGAGAAGATGGAAACTACTATAGTATTGGGCTTATATCAGGATTCAGGCTTTAGAAGGGAAGATGGAAACTACTATAGTATAGTAGGGTATCTATATATTTTGGGGTTGTACAGGGGTAATGGAAAAAATGGAAACTAGTATAGTATAGTAGGGTATATATTGGGGTTGTATAGGGATGATGGAAAAGAAAATGGAAACTACCATAGTATTGGGCTTATATCAGGATTCAGGCTTTAGAAGGGAAGATGGAAACTATTGTAGTGTGTAGGCAAGACGAGATTTAGGGATCCACTTCTCCGGGGCTACAGGGTATATATTGGGGTTATATTGGGATAGTGGAAAAGACAATGGAAAAAATTATAATGGGTTACATAGGGTTTAGGGTTTAGAGTTATAGTCCCCCTTCAGTAGATAGAATATGGGGTATAGGGGGATCTTATTATGGTATACCCAAAGCCATATTCTATCTACTTAAGGGGGACTATAAGGTCAGTTCGCATCAGTGCTGGGCTTGGCTGCAAGCCTCCCGGGTCAGCGTGACGATGGCTTTTGGGAAGATTTGGTGGCAAAGAAGGACTCAGTCACTGGGTTGCTGTTGAGCAACTGAAATTGGGTTACCATAATGGGTATACATGGTAATTTACATGGTTCCCCAATATGGTAACTTAAATAAATTGTGTTCCCTAACAACAACCCAGGTCATTGAGATTCCTTTCACGCGCTGGGACCTTGACCAGTACTACTCCGCAGATCCAGATGCCCCTGGCAAGACCTACGCAAAGCATGGTGGATTCATCGAAGGTGCAGAGCTCTTCGATCCCTCCTGCTTCTCCCTGTCGGCTGCCGAGGCGGCAACCATTGACCCACAGCAGCGGCTGCTGTTGGAGGCAGCTCACACGGCTTTCTTGGCCGCTGGCTGGGAACGGGATCGGCTGATGGGTGCTGACGTGGGAGTCTTCGTGGGCCAGTGCCAATATGAACCTAAGCTGCAGGCTGCTACAAGGGCTGCAGGCATCTGCAGGCTGTACCCGTAGGTGATGAGATGCTGCCTTGTGCAAACCTAGTTTGGTGAATGAGCGAAGGATTGGTTCGTCATGGTTTCGGTGGGTGACAAGTTCAATCCATACACTGGCACTGGCATCTCAGCGTCCATCAGTGCGAACCGAACTTCGCACTTCGACTGCACGTGAGCTTGTGTGCTTAGTCGGACACGAGACAAAAACAACAAGCATCCACCCAGCGAAAGACATTCCTACTTGCATAGAGGCTGAAGGAGGTCGCATACTTTCAGATAGCATGGCCGGCCCATTTTTGCGACGAGACCATGCCAGGGAATGGCACGCGTATTAGGAGTGCTTTGAATGCTACACGTGGCCTAATTGAGGTACATCTTTGGTGTGAAGGCGGGACATGGGAAGCGAAGTATGGCTTTTGACATCTCTTGATGTTCTCCTCCACTGTGTCAGATGCCTAATGCAGTGATTTGACCAACATTGGCAGGGCCCAAGCTTGACATGCGACACGGCCTGTTCGTCCTCTCTGGTGGCTGCTGATGCGGTGTCCTGGAAGCATGTGCTCATGCTTACCGGATCAGTGAGAAGCTCTCACATCCATTTTCAGTTCGCACCAAGGCACTTTCTTCACTGCGCCGGGGAACTGCTGAGGGCGCTCTCGCGGCGGGCACGAATCTGATTCTTGGCACTGGCCCGTACATCAGCTTCAGCAAGGCGGGGCAGGGCAACTTTGTAAAATCAGGGTGTCGCAGTTTGTCTTGAAGATTTAAAGGTAAAGCATGTAAAGTATGTACAGCATGCTGCATTGAAGTGCCTGCAACCAGCGAGGCGAAGATGCTCTCTGAGGACGGCCGCTGCTTCACCTTCGATGCCTCAGCAAATGGCTACGCACGCGGAGAGGGTGTCGGGTCCGCCTTCTTGGCAACCCTCCCAGAGGATGGAGAGGCTTCAACGGCCCGTGCGTTGCTCAGGGGCACCGCCGCAAATCAGGATGGCCGCTCAGCTTCGCTGACTGCGCCCAATGGCCCATCACAGCAGGCAGTCATTCGCCGCGCGCTCATGGAAGCTGCTGCCAGTGCAGGCGAGGTTGGCCTGATCGAGTGCCACGGCACTGGTACTGCTTTGGGCGATCCGATTGAAGTGGATGCTCTAAAGTCAGTTCTTGGTGAAGCTGGATCAGCTGTAGTCCTGGGTGCAGCAAAGACCAACATTGCGTGCCTTGGACGAGAAATTCAGAAAGGCCGTTGCATCTTTGCTCAGCTCGAGCGGTAACTGTCTGGCTGTAAGGCACTTGGAGGGTTCGGCCGGCATAGCTGGTTTCATCAAAAGCGTCCACATGCTGGAGAAGAACCAGGCACCAGCAAATCTCCATTTCCAGAATCTGAAGCTCAGCAGCAACAAGCTGCTGCAAGAACTGGAAACTACTGCTATAATGGGGTTATGTAGGGTTTAGGGTTTAGAAGGAATGGAAAAGAAAACGGAAACTATTACTATAATAGGGTCATATATAGGGTTGTGGGTTTCTTGCATGGTGTAGTGTGCTTCCCTTTTGGGCTCATGTAATTTCCAAGCATGTCTTTTCTTGTTTGCAAGCTGAGGAATCCACACATCGACCTTGAAGACTTCCAGGCAAGTGCAGCCCAGAAGTCTTCTCCCCCTTCCCCCTTAAGTAGCTAGAATATGGGGTATACTATTGGGGGATATATAGGGATAATGGAAAATAAAATGGAAACTACTATATTGTAATGAGGTATATAATGAACATTCACTCTTGTGTGCAACGCTTGGCTAGCCTCAGGCAGTGATCCCTGTGGAATTACACGAGCTGCCTTCGGGCAAGGTGGTCTCAGGCGCGGCGATTCCTGAATTGAGCACGCGATGGACATCTGTGGATTGGATCTGGACCCGGATTAATCTCCTAAAGTACCAGCATCTGATTAGGCTGTTGCTCCAGCTGGACATACTTGTACAAAGGACAGCTACTGTAGCTAGTTGCGCCAGTATGAATTTTTGGGCCGAACTGTCGAGCCTGGACAGGCCTCTCGTCCTTTGGATTTGGTGGCACAAATGCACACCTTACATTCGGAAGTGCCGCGGCGCACTCTGGACAGAGAGTGACCATCGCAGAGCCTGCCGCTGACGAAGGAGGTGCCATCACGTTCAGGTGCCTTCGCTGCATTTGCTGAGGAGTGAGACCCCGTGTTCTAGGAGCCTCCTTTTTCAAAGAAGTGGCAGGCACACCTCTTTCCCCTGGCGAGAGACGGCCTACCGCTGCCTGCGACGAAAGATCATGGAGGGCCGTGATGTGCATTACGAATGCACCATCAAGTCAGCGGCTACCTCAGCAAAGTTTCCCCAAGTGGGCATGCAAGTCAGTGGGCGCTCTGTGGCACAAGCCATGGGCATGCAAGGACATCTTCAAAGTTTGCGCAGAGCACGTGGCATTCAATGAGATCGTCGTGCCAGGCCTCCAGCGTTAGGCTTTTTGAGCAATCTTGAACTGCTGGCAGTGAAAGCAGTGATTTGCAACTTGATGACCCTTGATCTGTCGCCTTTTCCTTACAGGTGTGGTGTATGTGGAGCACGCTATGGAGGTTCGATGGAGCTCCTTTGAACCTGCAGAAGCATCAGAAACGCTTCAGTGACAGGCTGTAAAGACCATTGTCGGCAAGGAGGGCTACCTTAAGGACTTGGTTACGCCCTCAGTTGTAGCAGCTCCTGCGATTCCACACATACTGTTCTGTTAAACCGTCGGTTTTTACTAAGCAAGTGCCAGTCTCTGAAGTGAGAGATGACAGGCGATGACCTGGCCTCTGGTGGTTCCAAAAAATGCGGATGAGCCCACGGCAACCACGGTTTTCCTGCGGTTTTGTCAGACTCCCGCCGCCAACAAGCTGTTCACTAGTCTTCCGTTTAGGGATATTATTTCCCCAATAATGGAGAATCAAATGGAAAAGAACATGGAAAATGACATGGACATTGGGATTATTGAAATTATATAGGGAATTATAGGGGTTCTAGTCTAAACTCCTAGTTTCCCCTTTAATATTCCCTACTGATTTTGCTATCATGTCCGAGGATGGGGGACAAGTTCGAGATGCGCAGCTCCCGTGGAGATAGCACTGAAATGATCACTCACTGCGAGGGACGCATTGGCCGAGGGCTTGCCGACCCAGCAACCATCGACCTGGAGGAGCGGTTGTAGGGTTATATAGGGCCTATATGAAGGTTATAGTGGTTATATTAGCTTATATAGGGTTTAGGGCACAGAGATAATGGAGAATCAAATGGACAAGACAATGGAAAAGACAATAGAAAATGAAATGGACACCAGGATTAGGGTTTAGGGTCTAGGCTTGTTTTAGGTTATTCTGAGGTTATATAGGGTTATATGGGGCTATATGGGGTTATGCAGGATTATAGGATTATTTCGGGTGTGGTTACTGCTGGCTCAAATGGAAAAGAATAGGGAACATGAAATGGAAACTGGGATTGTGTGGGAGAATTGGGGGTCATCTTCTAAACTCATAGCATCCCTCTTAACATCCCCTATAGTAGTCCCCTATATAATCCCCCATATAACCCTTCAAGGAGTTTAGACTATAGCTCATGTGATCCTACTAGCTGCTGTCTTCAAGTACCCCACGTCTTGCAGGAGCTGCGGCGCATGTGCACTGAGGAGGTTGATCCCAAGGACTGCAGGCTGATCTAACCTTAATAGTAGTAATAGCAATAATAATCATAGTAGTTATAATCGTAGTTTTCCTCTGCGCAAGGCTTGGTCAAAAGCCCATCAGTTATAATCGTAGTATTAATGGTAATAAGAGTAGTAATCCTCCTATTTGTGATTCAGACTTTTCATTTTTCTTCCGTGTGCAGGATGTGTATGCCGCCATCCACAAGGGCGGCTTGTGGCTGGGCCCTAGATTCCAGGCGGCCCACTAGTATTGCTATTAGTACTATTGTTGCTACCATTATTGCTGTTAGTACTATTACTATTACTACTATTGTTATTATAGTTACTTTTGTTACCACTATTAGACTTATAGTTACGAATATTATTGTTATTATTTTTAGTATTATTATTGTTACTACTAGTACTCCAGCAGAAGATGCAGGTGTGCAAGCAGATGCAGCGCATGCGGACGGGACCTTCCGGTGAAGGCGTGCTCTAAACTGTGCTTGCGAAGGATGTTTGGGGCTGCATTGCAAACCTTGGTATGGCGTATGGCCTATATTTTGCATCAAATCGCCTGCGTTGTGGCCAGAGTAATAAAGGAGTTCGCTGAGTCTTCAAGCTTTTGTCGTACATGCCGCTGCAACTGTGCTGGGACGGGTGTAGGTGGTGACAAGCATGTCCTTTGCCGTTTGGAGCATTCGCCAGAGCCCGGATCCCAGTAGTGCCTACAAGCTGCCATTGGCACGAAGTGCTCCATGTTGTACGTGCCGATCTCGCTGGCCTATTCCTGTGTCATATGGTGTCACCGCCGCTGAAGCTTCTCTTGAGGTCGCAGCCCAACCAGGGATTCTTCATGCACCCAGCTACACTGGACGGCAGCGGCCTCAACTACTTCGAAAAAGGGCAGTAGGCGACGTAGCTTTCACATAGGAAAGGCAAGAAGCCATGGAAAGGCGCAATTTTGAAACGATCCAACTGCAAACTCCAGGTACCATTCACGTCCTGGGAGCTACTATGGTTGGCTGGGATGCGCCGCTCAAGATCTTCTCCGGCATGGGTCGAGTGCAGGCTTGAGAGTGTATGAGTGTGTTGGATATCATCCTGATATGACTTGGTCTGATCTTCGGTTGGGGTCCAGGCTCATGTGCACCGAAACTTCTCCCGAGATGAGCACCTATGCTGCACTGCGACTCGTGTCACCCCAAACTTCTTCCCCATAGATCTACCGTGCGATGACAAGCCCAGGCAGTACTTCGTGCACCTCGATCTCAAGACCTTCTCCGAGCAGGAACAGGCAGATGTCTTGGCAATCCGCATAAAATACCATAGTATACAATAACATACCATGATATTTTAATATACCATAACATACCATGATATTTCAATATACCAGAATATACCATAGTGAACTTCAGAACACGGTGGCTGCGGTGGCCTTAAACCCCAAGCCCTAAACCCTAACTAAACCCCTAAGCCCTAAAACCCTAACACCCTAAACCCTAAACCCTAAACCCTAAACCCTAAACCCTAACTAAACCCTAAGTGACCTGCAGGTCTTTGACTCGACGGTGGCAACGAGTGACGGAGAAGTACTTTTCAAGGGCACTGACGTTGCCTTCCGCAAGGCGGATTAGGGTTTAGGGTTTAGGGTTTAGGGTTTAGGGCTTAGGGCTTAGGGATTAGGGTTTAGGGTTTAGGCTTTAGGCTCTCTTGAGCAAATGCAGCCAAGCTTGGGAAGGTCCGGCCAAGGTTCCCGCAATAATCAAGATAAGAATAAGATTAGCAATAAAGATAGTCATGTAATAAAAGTAATAATAGTATTCATAGTAATAGTAGTCATGAATAGGTAGAAATGATGTGATCCTTGGCAATTTTGAAAAATCACACGCCCCAGTGACTTTTGTTCACTGCCTGGCACATGAATGATTGCCGGCTGATGTCATGAAGGTCACTTAGGTAGACCCCCCACACCCCTATAGTCACTATTACCCCTAAACCCTAAACCCTTATGGTCACTATTACAGGTGACGCCGGAGCAGATCAAGAAAGCCATGGAAAGCCAGATGGCCGAGGATGACCAGAAGATCTACGAGGCCGCATCGTCCAGGTACTGTGAGCTATAGTCACAGTCTGAACTCGAGGGTTTAGGGTTTAGGGTCTAAACTCCGTAAAGGGGGTTATTCAGGGTTTAGGGTTTAGGGTCTAAACTCCGTAAAGGGGGCAATATAGGAGGTTATATGGGGGAGTATCATAGAGGTTATTACATGGGGGATACTGAAAGTTTAGACTACAGCTCATGTGATCCTGTGATCATGTGGATGTAGGCATGTGTAGGGTCTCCTGTCAACCCTAAACCCCAACCCCTAAACCCTAAACCGCGTGGCCCTGATTTTGTGCAGTGCTAAGGTCTGATGTCTGGGGAATCCCTCTTCGCGCGTATGTCCAAAAATAGTAGTCCCACTTATGCACCCTACACCAGGATTCCTTTATAGTCCCGTTTAAGTAGGCAGAATATGGCTTTGGGTACATTAAAATGAGATCCCCAAAAACCCATGTACTTAAGGGGGGCTATAAGCTTCCAACACGGGACCCCTTGTTTTTAGAGACACTCCCCATTTGGCGAAAACCATTTGTGGCCTTGTGAGGTGCAGTGGACAGAGCTGAAGACCAAGGCTGAGGAGCACTAGGGCTTAGGGTTTTTGGGAGCTTCTCAAACAAAACCCTAAACCCTAAAAAAATCCTAAACCCCTAAACCCTTTGAAATCCTGGGGACTCCTACAGTCCTGAAAGGCACCCCCCCCTATTTGAGAGACCCTCATTTTGGGTGTGGGATCTGGCGCCTTGGATTCGACATGAAAGGTTCAGAGCTTGTGCACACATGATGCATTGCGCATAAATCAGCGCAAGCATGTGGAGGGACCCTAACATGATGTCTGAATCCTGGACTGTTTACGGAAGGAGGAGGACACTGAGGGAAAATGCTTGGTCCTTGCCGTGGAAGCCTCCAAGGACGCCGCATCATGCTCTGTGCACAGAGGTCAGGGTTCAAGCTAGGTTGAAGCGTCCAGGATGGAAGGTCTGGGGTTCATGGCTTACGGTCGCGAGTCTGAATTTCAGCTCAATCATTGTCTGAGGGAATTTGAAGCTGTTCAAGGGAGAACTTGCTACGTTGTCAAACAGGAGGGAGAGATCCTTTCGCAGCTTCCTGGTGCGGAGCTCTCAGGGATTTCAGATGAAGCCCTGGAAGCGATTGAAGAGGGCGGCTTCGAGGGCCTGGCCCGAGTCATCAGCGCCATCGGGCTATCAGGTGACTTATTCGTGGTTAGTAGGGGAAGAGGGATGTAACTTGGGGATCATGATCCGGGATTGTAACCCTAAACCCTAAACCCTAAACCCTAAGCCCTAAGCCCTAAGCCCTAAAGGCCTAAACCCTAATATAAGTGATCCATTCCTTCACTCCCTCCTAGATGGCAGCAAGGTGAAGATGCTGCAAGCGGCCTGGACCATGCGCTTCGCCTCATGAAGGCTGGCGCAAGAAAACTGATCTGAGACGTATCAGACTATTTGAGTTATAGTCTAAATTCCTTCAAGGGTCTAGGGTTTAGGGTTTAGGAAGGGGGTTCTATAGGGGATTATATAGTGGAGTCTTGTAGGGGTTTTAAGGGTGATGCACTCAGACTATAGCTCATATTGTGAGTGACCCCCAGAGTTCCAAGCTTTCCATGTAGTATTTTATTAGGGGATACTATGGTACCCATTATAGAGTAAGATTATATCCTCCTTCTGGGGTATAGTATTTCATATAAGGNNGTTCAACCACCAAAAAAAACATTACTCATGTGCTCATCTTGGTCCCAGGCCTTGGTAAAATTGCCACCAGGCTCGGAGGCACCTGAGCTGTGGCCCCTTGGCGTTCTTCACTGGCCTTTGGTTAGCTGGGAATGGAAAAGAACATGGAAACTATTATAATGGATTATATGGGATCCTTACTATGACGATCCATTCTTTCATTCCTAGCTAGTCAAAGGTAAGTTTATAGACTTCCTTGTCCTCTGGACAAAGGTTGCAGTCTCCTGCTTGAGTTGATAGGAAGATTGTTGTCCAATTGTACAAATCAAGGGCCGCTAGTACTCCCACTTGGCATGCGCTGACTGTTGTTCCAATCTTCCCACTTGCATCATTGGTCTTGGCATCATGGAAGGTTCCTCACCAGCAAGGCAGTGGCTGTGGAGCAGAAGGATATCACTGAGATCCCGTACCATGCGGGCATCTGGGTTGGTACATATAGTAAATCAAAGGGTTTCCCCAATATAGTAACTTAATTTAAGTTCCTTAACAGCAACCCAGGCATTTGGGGTCTGGCAAGGGCTTTGCGTGCAGAGCGCCCGGACCTGAAAGTTGTTTGCTTGGATGTGGACAGAGACCAACTCCTCCAGGCCCATTCCTTTGGAACCACAGCAACCCGTGTGTTGCTGGGTTGCTGTTAAAACAATTAAACTAGGTTAATTATGGTTAATTATGGTTAATTATGGGTATACAATAAACAATAGGGTTTCCTCGTTATAGTGACTCAAGTTAAGTGCCTTAACAGCAACCCAGGTTGTATACTGGCCGCATTACTAGCACAAAACCCAGTTCTTCCCTGCCAGGGTGTAAGCGCCGCCATGGTCGCCTCGCGGGGTGGTGCAGAGCCTGAGATCGCTGTGCGGGGTGGAGATTCCCTGCAACTTTGGGGCCTGGCTCTTAGATTTCAGCCTCTCCCTTGACCTCCCTTATAGTATATTATGGTAAAACATATTTTTTTATGGGAAATATTAGGGTATAATATGGTATAATCGGGTATAATATCGTATATTAGGGTATCTGCTGGTGCAGCTGCTGTAGAGCTTATCTCAACTGGAGCTAAGGTCCACGATTGGTAGATGCCAGCATGCCTGAGCCTGAAGCTTTGGCAGTTGATTCTGAGAGTTGCCATTTGCTAAGTGGGGGCACTGGTGGTCTTGGCTTACTCTTTGCTGGGTGGCTGGCGGAGAATGGGGTCAAGCACCTTGCTCTCATGTCACGCTCCGGGCGTATCCAGGATGATTCCCTGCAGAAGCTCTTTGACAAGGCATCCAAACTCGCCAACGTCCAGCTCCTCAAAGGAGATATCAGCAGTGCAGGAGACGTGGAAGAGGTTCTGGGCACAGCGAACAAGAGCATGGCCGCCGTTAAGGGCATCTGGCATGCAGCAGGCGTTCTTGATGACCATCTCATGGCTGACTTGACCAGTGAGCACTTCGAGCGGGTGCTGCTGCCCAAGATCACCGGAACTTTGAACTTGCATAACTCTGCCGCCAGCACGGGTGTAGAGTCGCAGCTGCAGCAGTTTGTGCTCTTCTCTTCGGTTGCTGCCATGATCGGCACTGCGGGCCAGGGCAACTACTGTGCAGCCAATGCCTTCATGGACTCCTTCGCCAGCTATCGTTTAGGGAAGAAGCTCCCGGCTGTCTCCGTACAGTGGGGTCCCTGGGCCGAGGTTGGCATGGCGGCGCGGGCAGCCCGGACTTCATCCCAAGCTTCAGAATACTAAAGCCTTGATGTGCAAGGATCATGTTGAACCCTTAGCTAGAAAGCACAGTGCTGAAGCCCGCTCATGGCATCTAACGCTCACTGGGATCGTGGGATATCAGCCTAAAGCATTAAGATAAAGAATCCTGCATTGAAGCTTCACGCCCCTCGCCCAGGCAGGTACTTCCGAGAGTGTCGTGCTCCGTATTGCCCTTGCTGATGGATTGCGTGCCATGGAGACCATTCTGGGCGCCCAGCTGGGAGGCCATTTGGGTGGCGCAGCGGCGGTGGCCGGTGTGGCTCGCATCAAGTGGCGCTCCTTCCTGTCGCAGATGCCGGAGGCTCCGCACCATGTGTTTAAACAATTCCCTTGAATGACACCCCATTTGTACTCCAACGCTCGAGGCCCGCTCGACATCCCAATTCTTCAACTTAGACTGAGTAGTGGCAGTGAATATGGTAGCGGCTGGTCTTGCATTCTCTCTGAGCTTGCTTCCTATCAACAGGAGAAAAATGATTCAAGTCCGTGTCAGGTTCCTGCCTTCCTTGAGAACTTCCAGCAGTATGCACCAAAAGATGCCAACAAGGGCGGCAGCCTCGTAGCCAAGGGAGCCGCACCCTCGAAAGATTTGGTGCGAGCAGGCATTGAAAATGTACTCAAGGAGGTCTTGGGAGACGATTCGCTGGATGATTTCTCAGCCCCGTTGATGGACATGGGTCTGGATTCGCTTGCGGCAGTGGAATTCCGCAACCGTGTCCAAGCATCCTTTGAGGGGGTGCGGCTCAGCTCCACGGTCATGTTCGACTATCCCACTGTCGCCGACCTTACTGACTTTATCCTGTCGCAGTTCGCTCCTGAAGACGATGGCGCTGCTGCGGGGCTGGGAGATGTCGGTGGAGCTCTTCGAGAGCCGTTGTCAATGATTGGTCTGGCTGGTCGATATCCAGGCATGTCAGCTCACAATGACGTGTCTGAGTTCTGGGCATCCCTCTGCAGCGGTCGGGATCCAATTGCGCAGATTCCCATCGAGCGCTTTGATGTTGATGAGCTGTTTGAAGAAGACCGCTCAGCTCCTGGGCGGGTGTACGTCCGTGAAGGCGGCTTCATCCCTGGCATTGAGGAGTTTGACGCGGGCTTCTTTGGAATCGCAGAGCCTGAGGCCAGATCCATGGACACCCATCAGCGGCTGCAAACTGAGACGGCCTATGAAAGCTTCTACAACGCTGGATTCACCAAGGAGACACTCTCCAATGTGGAGTGCGGTGTGTTCATGGGTTGCTGCAGCTGGGACTTTCTACTTAGCCTTCAGGGGGCTGGTTTGTTGCCTAACTAACCCCGTCCAGAAAGTGCTTCAAGAAATCAATCCGTTCAAGGTACCCTCACGGGCATCACTGTGGACTACGACGACATTGGACCGTTTACCAACATTGGTTCCGGCCTGTCAGGCATGTCAGGCAGAATATCGCATGCACTTGGCCTGCGCGGACCGTGCTTCACCATCGACACAGCTTGCTCCTCAACCCTGGTGGCTATGGATTGTGCAGTGCAGGCCTCCCGATTGGGTCGCCAGGAGCTGGCATGCGTTGCCGGCACAAACCTGCAGCTGCGTACAGACATGTGGGTTGGCTTCTGCAAGATGACTGGTCTGGCTGGCGATGGACGCTGCAAGACCTTTGATGCATCCGCAGACGGCTTCGGCCGCTCTGAGGGCTCGGGTTCCGTGATCCTGCGCCTAGCATCGGCTGCACAGGCCAAGGGTGAGAATGCGATCGCACTGACAAGGGGAAGCTGCGTGAACCAGGACGGGCGCAGTGCTACCATCACAGCACCCAGCGGCCCAGCCCAGCAGCGTGCCCTCAGCAACTCGCTTCGGGATTCTGAACTGAAGGCCCTGGAGGTCTCTCTGGTTGAGTGTCATGGAACTGGCACGGCACTTGGAGATCCCATCGAGGTAGGCGCTCAGGAGAAGATCTACGGCAAAGACCGGGCGGATCAGGATCAGCTGATTCTTGCTGCTGTTAAGTCCGTCATTGCGCACTTGGAAGGAGCGGCAGGCGTTGCCGGACTGACCAAGTTGGTGAAGATGATGGAGCACAAGCAGGTGCCACCAAATCTCCACTTGAAGAAGCTCAATCCGAACATCGATCTCTCCAACTTCGCCTGCACGATCCCTGACAGTGTCCTTGACTGGAATCCTCCAGCAGGCGCCGTCCGTGTGGCTGGCGTCAGTTCGTTCGGCTTCTCGGGCGGTTTAGTTTAGAAGGGCAAAAATGCGTTTCCTTTCTATTCATTGCCAATTGTGCGCTGCATGCAGGAGTTCGAGGTTGGCTGAGGAAAGGTCTAGGATGTTTAGGCACGTGTGTCCTCCCAAGGGCGGTGCTCCCCACCAAATCCTATGCATGATGCATGACAAACCGTGCTCGCGTGGTTGGAGGGGCACAGGCTCAGTTTGTCTTGGGTCAGCTGAGGCTTCTCGGGCACTAACTCCCATGTGAATCTGCAGGAGGCTCCGCAGGCAGAGCTGGAAGCCGTGTTGCAGGCAGCTGGGGACCGTGCGCCCTTAGTTTGGTCCCGCAACGACTTGTCCTACAAGGATTGGGCAAAGCAGCTATGGTCTGCCATCGCCTGGCAGCCGCTGCCCATGAGCCAAGCTTCCGTGGACGCATCCGAGGATTGGTTGGTCATTGGTGGAGGTGATCTTGCAGCTGAGGCTGTGAAGGTGGCCCTGCCTAAGGCCACAAGTGCCACAGTGGCAAGCTTGGCAAGTGGGGGTGAGGCCAAGAAGCTGCTGTCCCAAAGAAGCTGGCAGTGCATTGTCTTCGCTGAGCCTTTGGTTGCAGACGACCCAACTCTGGAGGGTCCTACTCTAGCAGCTCTGCTGCATCTGGTGCAGGCCCTCGCAGAAGATAAGCGCTCTGTGAAGCTGGTGCTCCTGTCTGCTGGCGCACAGTCTGCCTCCGGATCTGGAATTGGCCGTGGCTTGTTGGGTGCTTCCTGTTGGGGCTTCATGCGCTCGGTTCGACTCGAAGTGCCACATCTGCAGCTTCGGACAGTTGACTTCTCTGAGGACACCGACATGTCCGCAGTGTTGCCAGCAGAGCTTGCTGCAACAGGAGAATGGCCAGCAGATGAGGAGAAGGCAGCTGAGGTTGCAGAGGTCGCTTACATACAAAGTGAAAGATGCACCCCACGCCTGAAGCTAACACCGGTTCCACCTGCAACACAGAAGCTGGAGGCAGATGGTAGCCACATGATCAGTGGTGGCTTCGGCGGTCTTGGCCTGTCCATTGCCCAGGAGCTCGTGGATATGGGTGCCAGAAGCCTGCTCCTCCTGTCTCGAAGTGGTCGTGTTGCCAGTGATGACAAGCTGCAGCAGATGTTCGCGGAACTGCAGGCATCGCCTGCCACAGTTCATGCCTGGTCTTGCGATGTTGCTGACGCTGCTAAGACGCGCGAGATGCTTCAGAAGACAAAGTCGCTGGACGTGCCCCTCCGAAGTGTGGTGCATGCTGCGGGCATCATCGACTTCTGTGAATTGGGGAACCTGACTACGGAGAGCATGAATGCCGTCTACAAGCCGAAGGTCTTGGGAGCATGGAACCTCCATAGCCAGATCGGCCTCGCGGGGGATGACCTGGCAGCCTTCGTGCTGTTCTCTTCCGTGTCCTCCTTGGTTGGTCTGCCAGGAGCTCAGTTGGCAGCAAGAGGTTCGGCAAACCTGACATGCCTGGATCTCCCTTTGTCGGATCAGGTCATCAGGCATCACGTACTCCACTTCCAATGCTTACCTTGATGGTTTGAGCATGTGGCGCCGGGCTGCAGGCTCTGCAGCTACCAGCCTTCAGCTTCTGGGCTAAGAGATTTGGGTGGTTGTCAAAATTATGGTCCCTTTTTGGGTCCTTATTATAATAGGGCTCCTAATTTTTAGGGTACCCAAAAAGGGACCATAATTTTGACAACTACCCATTTTAGCAGAAAATAGATCAACTGTGAGGGCTTCTCTGCACTAAGGTGGGGTCCCGTCGCCGACGTTGGCATGGCAGCAAAGGGCGAAGCCCATGGTGCTTCTGAGCCTTGGCGTTGCCAAGGGGAAAAAGCCTCAGCTGTCTTTTCTTGCAATTATATTGGGGTTATATTGGGGTTATATTGGGGTTATTTTGGGGTGATATTGGGGTAGTTTAGGGTTTAGGGTAGTAGTTTCCATTTTATTTTCCATTATCCCTATATAACCCCAATATACTATAGTAGTTTCCATTTTCTTGTCCATTATCCATATATAGCCCCAATATACTATAGTAGTTTCCATTTTCTTTTCCATTACCCCAATAAAACCCCAAGTCCCAGCTGTCTTTTCTCTTGCAATGCGCCTAGCCACTAGTTCTGCACTTGCATTGGGCCATGCAAAGGACTCTGCGCTGAAGTTGATTTCTCCGAAGCACGTCCGCAACGCGTTCCACCGTGTCTTGGCCAAGCCACGCCTGGCGCTGCCACCTGCCCTGCTCTTTGCGAGCTGCTTGGACTTGTTCTAGCGCCATTCTTCTCGTTTCGCTTGTCTGCTAAGAGCTTTTCTCAATGCATCTTGCATCCATTTTTGCCAGAGAGTTCGGTTTGGACACAACGCAAGGAGCCGACTGGTCACGCTTCATGCAGCAGGTGGGAACGGTTGTGCCCGTCTTGGCAGACTCGAAGGCGCCTGGCACTTGCAGTTTGTCCCTCTCAAGAGCTGGAAACCAAAGCTAACCCTGAACCTGCAACTGAAATTCGAAACCCTAAGCCAGAGTTGATGAAGGATGACCTTAGGCTTAAAATCCAAAACCCCTTTACAATTCTTTCAGAACATCCCTCACATAGCCCGTCTAAGTCATCTACAACCTCTTCATGGCCCTCGTCGCTCATCCTAAGTCCATCAACCCAGCAACCCTGAACAATAAACCGTAAACTGCAATTCCTGAACCCCACACCCTAAGCTTCAAACCCTAAACTCCAATCTTCAAACTCCAAACTTCACACCTGAACTCCTTCACTTCCAACCCTAAATCCATGAACTTTAAAATCTCAAACCCGAAGCTTTCAAGCCTAAAGCCCTGACGCCCTAGACCGTAAACTTGCGGAAAGGCGTCTGACAAAAACCCTAACTTCAGCCACGCGGTTGAGGGTTGAGGGTTTAGGGGCCCCGAAGCCCCAAACCGTAAACTTAAAAGTCTTCAAGCACGAACATCCCAAGCCTAGAGCTGCACACCCTAAACTTTAGGCCTGAAACTTCAAACTTGAGGCCGCAAGTCCAGAACTTTTCCAATCCCAAAACCCCCAAAGCGCCACAACTTCAAACCCTGAAGCCAACGAAAGTTCCAAATTTCACCCCAAGCGCCCCCTACTGAATTTCACTGGCCCCAGACCGTAAACTCTGATTCCTAAACTTCAAACCCTGAAGCCCCAAACTCCAAATCCTAAACTTCCAACCCTAAAACCCAAGCCAAGGGTTTAGGATTTCCTCAAACCCCCAAAACCCAAAACCTCAAACCTCTAAAACCCAACCCCAAGCCCTTTACCCTAAGCTTGAAGCTCTAAAGCCCCAGACCTGAAACTGGAAAGCTTAAAACATCTCAAAACCACACCCCCTGTACTCTAAACTCTGAATTTCCGAGGCTAAACTTGAGACCTAAAACCAAAACACCAAAAGCACAAATTTTTAGCTCTGCACCAAAAACCACGAACTTCAATCCCGAAAACCCTAAACCGCGAACTTCAAATCCTAAGCCCTAAACCCTAAGTCCTAAACCCTAAACGCTAAAGCCTACGCCTGAGACTTCAGAAGGCGGCAAGCTCGGCTGCTCCTCAGAGCAGTGCGCTCCTGGCCTCCATCGAGGGCCTGTCGCCAGAGGCTGTGCGAAGCTCCTCCGCCGCAAAGTTTTAGGGGTTTGGGGCTTCAGGGTTCAGGGGATTTAGGGGGTTTGGTGTTTTGAGTTGAGGATGAGGAAGTAAAGTGGGCCATATTGGTATGATTCGTGGGATCTTGCGGGAATGTTTTGATACCACAAGGCAAAGCTTCTGTATTGTTATTTTTGTTATCATCATTATTGCTGTTACTATGTAAATCAGTATCATTATGATAATCTAAATTCAGGACTCCCTAATCTTCCAAGATGGTAGTGTCTTCATGTGCATAGAGGATCTCGGCTGGAATATGCAATTGGCTGATAGAGCGCATGTCCGCATACAGTTTCCAACAGTGCTTGATGACTGTTCGTGCTGTCGCTGTCTTCGTCGCTGTTGCTCTTACTGTTTCTGTTGGGCTCGTAGCCGCTATGTTGAAAGTTCTCGCCAGTCATCATTCTTACAATTTCGAGTCCTGTTGGCCGTGCCGCATGGTACTCGAGGATCTTCGAAGCTGCTTAGAGAAGCATGAGCAAATAGTATTTGATGATGTTTGCACTTCCCATTGCTGCTTAAGACAGCGCTTGGCACCTGTTGTGGGTGAACTTATCTACAGTGCACCAGGTGTAATGTTGATGGCTGCAGAACCTGCTCAGCAGATTGAATCACCGTTTGATTCCTTGAATGCTCGAACATTTTTCCGCTGTATGGAGCAGAATGACAGGCAAGCTGACGGCAACCGTTCTGGATGTGGCGCAGGCACCGCTCCTTTGCCATGTACGTTGTAGGTGTGACTGCATCTTTTTTTGCTGGCTGGTCTTCTTGCGGTGCCTCAAGTACATCTCGCGTCAGGGTGTGCTCGGCGAGACCTTGGAGGAGGATGCTCCTCTGATGGAGGCTGGCCTGGATTCACTGTCGGCCGTGGATTTCAGAAACCAGGCTGGGACATCACGAAGTTTGAGGCATAAATGGAAACTACTATAGTATAATATTGGGGCTATATTGGGATAATGGAAAATAAAATGGAAACTACTACAATGGGGTTACATAGGGTTTAGGGTTTAGGGCATGCTTCGTGTGCTACTTTGAGCGCCTGCCGCAAATCAGGTGGCAAAGCAGTTGCCTGGGCTGAAGCTGCCAAACACGCACCTTGACTGAGTTTGGAAAAGAGAAGTGCACCGGAAGTCAAGCGTATGGGTAGTTACAGCAGCACCGCTGTTTGTAACATGGCCCCATTATTACTCCTATAAACCATGGAGCCACCCCGAGTGGGCAACTAAAGCTAAGAGCCACCCTTGTGATCCTTGCAGCTTTGCACCAAAGTCCCGTTTTTCCATTTCAGTTTCCATTTTTTCCATTTGATTCTTCATTATAGGGGGGATAATATAACCCTAATATTACCCCAATGGGTCAGCAAGCTTGTGCATCTTGTCCGGGCTGTGTCAGGCTGATGTTCGATTATCCCAGCCCCGGAGCCATTGCCAAGTATGCTGCTGCTCCTGGGTTGCTGTTAAGGAACTTAAATTAAGTTACTATATTGGGGAAACCCTATTATTTGCCACATATACCCATTATGGTAACTTAATTTAAGTTCATTATATCCCTATATTCCCCCAGTTTCCATTTCATTTTCCATGTTATTTTCCATCTGATTCTCCATCATAGGCCATTATGGTAACCCTACCCAGGCTCAGCTAGCACCAGCTTCGGCACCTTCGCTTCCAGTTGCACGTGCCGCTGCGCCTGACTCACGGGGACCCCTTGCAGCTCTATCCACAGCTTGCCACTTCCCTGCCGATGGAGATGATGCGCAGACTTTCTGGGCAGCCTTGGTGAGCAAGACAGATGGGGTCACTGAGATCCCTTATGAGCGCTGGGATGTGGATGAATACTACGATCCTTCTCCGAATACCGTCGGTCGCATGTACGTTCGTCATGCGGCATTCGTGAAGAACGCGGAGTGCTTCGATGCTGCGCTGTTCAGCATTTCCGGAGCAGAGGCTAGAAGCCATCATCCATGACCCAACCCTGCTTCGGTTTTGCATTTGCTTGTTGTCAAAAAAAACTCCATGTTCTCTGCCGGAGGCTGCAAGCATGGACCCTCAACAGCGCCTCCTTTTGGAGATCGTCCAGGAAGGGTTCCATGCAGCGAAGGCGCGAGCAAGCTTGACCGGAGTTTACCATGTCTTGCGGCTGATAGGGTAGGAGAGGGGACACTGTCGCGACTGCGCATCCAGTCGGTGTTTCACTAGGCTATCAACAGATGGGGACAAAAGAGCGTGCTACCTTCATCATGGTCTGATTCAATGTGCTTAGGCCTACACTTCCCTTGAAATGCCACTCACCTTGGGATAGATCAGAAAGAAGACATCTTTTGGAGACGAAGTAGGGTGGAAGCTATTTTGGTGTAGCAGATGCACCTGGGTCTGTGTTTGGAGGCCTTGCTGAGTATCGGGGGCGCGGCTTCGCCGCTCAGCACAAAGGACATTGGCAGCTTCGTGGGTGAGTGCAACAACGACTGGGGTCACTTCAAGAACCTGGAGACAGACAAGATGAACCCGTTCAGTGGCACCGGCGGTTCCATGTCGATTTCATCGAACAGGCTCGCCTACGTCTTCGGCTTTAAAGGTCCAAGTGTCACCTCCGATACGGCTTGCTCTTCCTCTCTCATTGCCTTGGATATCGCAGCAGCGAACATTGGCCGAAGCCGATGCCTCGCAGCCGTCTCAGCGGGAGTCAACATGAATCTGCTGCCTGGTCCGTTCGTGGCCTGCTGTCAGGCACGCATGCTTTCAGAAGGTGGCCGCTGCAAGACGTTCGATGCTTCTGCAGATGGATACTCAAGAGGCGAGGGTGCAGGTACGGTCTTGGTGCGACGCCTCTCAGATCTAGGTGGAGAGGCCAGTGTGCCTGCAGTGAGTGGCACGGCTGCGAATCAAGACGGGCGGAGCTCATCACTCACAGCCCCGAACGGCCCGGCCCAGCAGGAAGTGATTCAGACCGCCTGGCAGGAAGCAGGGCTTGCACCAGGTGCTTCCGATTTCATTGAGACCCACGGCACTGGCACCGGTCTCGGGGACCCGATTGAGATTGGATCTCTTTGCAACACCATGGGCCAGGGTCGCAGCAGTGTTCCTTTGATGCACAGATTCTGCTTGGCTTGAACCGTATATTGTGATTCCGGGGTACGTTCATGCCAAGAGAATTCGTCCAAATTCTGTTTGCATTCCCCAGCGTGGCTTCAATTCTCAGACTCCGGCATCTCAGGCGTTGCAGGTCGGAGCCGTGAAGACCAACGTCCGGCACTCGGAGGGATATTGGGAGTTAGCTCTGCGAGCATCAGGATTCCTACAGCTTCCGCGTTTGTCCTAGGCGCAGCGGCAATCATGAAGCTTTGACCTTGATTGGGTTGGCCATCAGACCTTGTAACATGAATGTGGTAGTTTCCCAAAATAAGGGGTACCCCAATATGGACCCCAATATACTATAGTCCCTATTATAGAGACCCCCAAAAAGGTACCCCTAATTTTGGGAAACCCCCATGTATTTCTGGTCCAAACATCATTACCTTCCAGTTTTAATGCCAAGGGAATGGGATTCCAAAAACGGAGGTCTCCCTTACTAGAGAACCCCCATCCCCCAGAAGGCTCAGCTGTAAGTTCCAATGCATAGGTTCCAAACGAAGAAGTCTAAGGACATTTCAGAACCCAGGTGTCCTAAAATCATACCCGGCCTGATGACGTAAGTTACAAGACTACTCCGAAAAGGTAGGGGTTTAGGGTTTAGGGTTGCAGCCTACACACCACGCCCTGAACTGTGCAACCCTTTTAATACGCAGACAAGGTGCTCCCGGAAATCAAACAAACGTGCAACTTTGCTCCCTGGTGGTTAATAGGGAGTAGGGAACTAACCCCTACATAGTCCCTATTTGATGTTTTGCCTCACTCCCGAAATTCTAAGTTGTGGTTTCCACTTTTTCCCTTTATCTCTATATAGTCCCTATAGTCCCTATATATAACCCCAATATGCTGTAGAGTAGTTTCCGTTTTATTCTCCATTATCCCAATATTATCCCTAACCCCAATATACTATATGGTAGTTTCCATTTTCTTTTCCATTATCCTGATATAACCCCAAAAATATTCCCTTATTCCCCACTAACCACCACGCTAAACCCTAAACCCAAAGTTTTCGCAGCCCGGGCTCCTGCGAACCACCAGTAAGTTTGGAGAAATCACATCCCCCAACCCTAAACCCTAGGGTTTAGGGTTTAGGGTTAAACCCTAAACCCTAAACCTTAAACACTAAACCCTAAGCCCAATTTTGGACATGCGCAGGTGAGCCACTTGGAGGGCGCTGCAGGAATCGCTGGTCTCCTGAAGGCCCTTTCGGCCATGGAGCACAGCCAGGCGCTTTAAACCAACTTGAATAAGTTTCTTGCTAGTGGTTTGTAGGGAACCAGGATATATATCATACAGGGATTATTGGGCCTAAACTCTCTTATTCCCTACTAGAATTTAGGCGGGTCTCTATTCTAGGGTTTAGGGTTGAAGGGTGCGCTCGTGTTTGGGATGTCATCCCGTGCTTTTGATGGTCAAATTGACAAGAATACAAGGGGCTATGGGAACAGGACTAGAAGACCCCAGCCTGCATGACTATAGTAGCATGCATGGGACAAGCCGATTTGCAGCCGTATTCATGCTACCGATTCCAGCTACGAGAAGTGACGGGAGCATGCTCAAGAGCCAAGAATGGCAATGGCCATTGCAGAGACCAGAGCAAGAGGAGGAAGATAAACGATGACACGCATGAGCAGGAGCAGAGAGAGCGAATTTGCCAAACCTTAACAAACAGTATACAATCCCCTATATTATTAAACCCTATCTAACCCCTATAACCGCTATGAGCCCTTTCAGTCTAGATAATCCTCTCTCTCTCTCTCTATATACATGCTTGCAGGTGCCCCCGAACCTGCACCTGGCCAGTTTGAATCCGCACATGGACCTGGACGACGTCCAGTTCAGCTTTCCAACCGAAGCTGCGGTTTAAATGAAGATACCATAACACAGGGGTATGGGGGCATATACGGAATTACGGTTTAGGGTTCAAAAATTAACTTAACATAATGCAGGTGTATAGGGTTTAGGGCTTAAATTGCCAGACAGCAACCCAGGAAGCCGTGGTGGAGCTCTCGCGGGACACCCTCCGAAGCTTCGGGCTCTCATCCTTCGGATTCTAGGTTGCTGTTAAGGATACAAATTAAGTTACCATAATATAGGGGTTAAAGGGATATATAGGGGTATATAGGGGTATGTAGGGGTATGTAGGGGTATATAGGGGTATATAGGGGTATATAGGGGTATATAGGGTTGAGGAACTTAAATTCATTTATCATAATGGGTATATATATATATACATAGTAAATAATGGGATTTCCCCCATATAGTAACTTAACTTAAGTTCCTGAACAGCAACCCAGGATTTGGTGGGACGAACACTCACGTTACTGGCCTTGCACCAGCCGGGGAGAAGGATGAGCCGGAGCCAGTGGAGGACAGGGACTTTTCTTACTGGGGTTTAGTAGGAAATAGAGGAATATGGTAGTTTCCCAAAATAGGGGAACCCCAATATAGACCCCCAAATACTATAATCCTTATTATTTTGGGAACCCCCATATAGCATGTAGGGATTATATGGGGCTTATATTCTACTAGCAGCCCGTCAGTTTTTTCATAAGCTGCTGTCAGAAATTTGCCCATGAATAGTGCAGACAGGAGAGGTGGTTAGCATTAGAGCTTGACAGCACGTCCCTCGTAAAAGGATTGGATTCCCCTTGCGTGCATCCCAAGTCATCATCAGGGCCACGATTTCCCAAAACCCCTTGCCAGGAAAAGATTGTGTTCAACCGCCAGCGCTTCGGCTGGTCCCAGACGAAGCATCCATTGTCCGTCGCACCCCGCCGAGGTGCTCACTCTCAGCTTTCTTTCCGTTTGACTTCTCAGCACTGTGGAGCATGTCACAATGCGACCAGCAGAAAGCGCAAAGCAAGAGGGCTGTGTATTTTATTCTTCAGCAACTTCGCTTGGTCCAAACTTATACGTGGCTTTTTGTGCTGCTCACATATTTTGGAAACAGGTCCAGTGTCAACCCTAAGATGTCGTGCACGTGGTCAGAGCTGGTCTGACTGCAAATCTGACGAATGGTATGACAGGACATGACTTTGTTTGTGTGTTTGCTTCTGCTGCTGGAATACCATTTCTGTTATTGTTTCTCCGCCGCCGCCGTCCCCGCCACCACCACCAGTGCTGCCACTGCCACTGACACAGCAACCGCTGCTTTTACCTCTGCCACTACCACTTCGCTCCCTGCGCCTGCTACCACCCAACCATTTGCTTGCGTGAGGCGGTGAACCTGGTGTCATGGTCTTCTCAGCCCCCATCAAGGGCAAGGTCCTCCAGCTGCTGTCGCGTGGTGTGCAGAGAGATATTGGTTTGTGGCAGGTCACGGGATTGATTCTTCTCGGTCTGATCATCATCAGCGTTCTCATCATCAACGTTCTCATCATCATCGTCATCATCATCAACAGCATTTCCACCATTATCATGACCTCTACCACTGCCATCTGTAAGCCTTCAAGAATCAGCATCCTCATGCGTGTCACTATCGGGGACAGTATTGTTTTAGGTCTTTGATGGCTCCACACTTCTTTCAAGCCTGCAGCGGCTGAGCAAAAGCAGTGGCTAGGTCACATCACATCATCTACGGCGAGATTGTCGTACCAGGACTGCTGCTGTATTTGACCATGTCTATGTAGCTGTTAGATGTTGCTAGCCTATTGCAAGCTAGGAGTGCTGAAGGCCATTGGTTGCCAGTGTAGCTCTCTCCAAGCAAACTATGCCTGAACTCCCCTGGTAGTACATGCTTCTGTTCTCTAAACTGATGACTGCTACTTATACAAGGGGGAGCCAGGAGCAACCTATATCGAGATGGTGATTGCAACTTCTGCCTTCCGCCTCGGCATGGAGGGAAAGCGCTTTGCATTGGAGAACATTGGATTCCAGAATCCTCTTGTTCTCCGACCATCAAATGACGACAAGGCACTGGCCCCAGACATTCCAGACATGGGGGTTTCCCAAAAATAGGGGTACCATTTCAGGGGTCCCCGTAATAAGGATCATAGTATATTGGGGTCTATATTGGGGTCCCCCTATTTTGAGAAACTACCACATGCGTTGGTTTAGTCTGTGAACGTGTTCGGAAAGCAGGTCAATCCAGAGCTGAATCCTGGCGTGGACCTCTACCTGCAGATTCAGGAGCCATGGGAGTATACAGTGTTTATATAGGGATTATAGGTATATATTGGGGCAGATTTCTGAAAACCCCAAACCCCTAGCACCTGTAACCCCCTCAAACCCCTCAAACCTTACAACCTTTCAACCCCAAAAAAGAGAACACTGGCTGGTGGTCCTACTATAAACATTAATACTAATGTCATTTGCGCTAATATTATAGCAATGATAGTATTCGCAGTCTTACCATTCTAAGCAGGAGAACACTGGCCGGTGGTCCATGAGCAGTGTGGAGTCCGGCTCGTCAGATGTCATCAACACGCACGCCGAGGGATCCCTGAGCTTCCTGGGCCCCAAGGCTGGGGACCCTCAGCCTAGATGGTAGTTTCCATAAATAGGGCTACCCCAAAATGAGCCCCAACATATGATAACTCCAAAGAAGGTATCTCTAATTTTGGGAAACTCCCTGGATTGGGGCGGGAGTAGACTCGGTGTATTGATGCAGGGCTCCTCGGGAGCGGCGGAGCTGCGACACCTACCACTGGAAGAGATCCGCTCGCGCTGCCCAGAAGAAGTGGAAGATTCGCGCATGTACGTTCCTTTTGCTGCAATGTTGGTCTGTCGGCTCTGTTGCTCAAAGCTCTGCGAATTGCGTCTTCTTGTTTGGGCTTGTGGCCTGCCCTCAGCTCAGGTGCCGTTTGCCAACATTGGATTGCCATTGCAGCCACGTTTCCGCACTGTTCGAAGCATCAAGCGTTCGCAGGACATGCATGTGCAGCCACATGGTCCAGGGATATCTACAGCAGGTTTTTCTCTTGAAGGCATTGAGTCATTCCCTTTGCAGGACGAGATCATCGCCTGGGTTGCAGCACAGGAGGATGGAACCAACGCTGGTTTCATCTTTGGTGTCTTGGTCGCATTCATGGTCATGAAACAGAACGATAGAAGCGGGCCCGCATGTTCTTGCTCGATGTGGTCCCGTGGCACAGATTGCCAGAAAGGGGTTCATTATTTTTATAAGTGGCTGAGGCCCTGCAGTCATCGATGGCAGCTTCCAGGTGCGCCGACTAGAATGCAAACAGATGCTGGTGCATGACGGCAGAAATGCAGTAGTGATCGCCTGCTGACATTGAATAGCTCTCGTTCCCGTCATGCCGCATTCCACTGCATGATTTGCTTCAACTGTGGTTAGAAAGAAAGCGCCCGGAGTTTCTGAAGCATGGCAGCCTTGCCAGGGACGCCAAAAAGGAACCCAACACTTTCAGAAATCCTCAATCCCTGCGAAGCAAAGGTCCGCAATTCCTTGTATATTGTAATCCCTACAGAATCCCTCAAAATTCCTTCTGGTTTCCATTTTATTTGCCATCTTTGTTTCTAGTGGATTCTCCCTAATGGGGCCAGATAACCCCCCCGTTTCCTACCCAGTGTCAGCGCAGATTTCTTTGCTTCTCGAGGCCAGCTGTGCCTTCCAAAACCTCGAGGCACGGAGCTCGCTCGAGCTAGAGTCTGAACTCCTTAAAGAGGGGTTCTGCGGAGGGATAATGTAGGGGACTATTCTAAGGGTTATGCAGGGGATACCAGGGTTTTAGACTATTGCTCATTTAGGGTTCAGAATTTAGAATGTATGGAACCGCAAATGACAAATAAATCATTATACTAATAGTACCTTAGTACCAATAACAATCAGACGAAGAATACCAAGAAGAGGAATTATGATAACAAGAAGAAGAGACGCGACGTTGTAGTTGTTCTTGACGCTAGCAGTCTTACTGGCTTCTAAAACTTTGGTCCTACGGCCTAAGCCACGCATTCCTGAAGCATAAACCCCTAAACCCTAAACCCTCTAGACACTTAACCCCAAGTCCTGCTTGGAATATCCAATCCAAAGCCTGAAGCCCTAAGCCCTAAACCTTAGGCCCTAAACCCTAAACACTAAACCTTTCATCCTACACCCTAAACCCTAAACCCTAAACCCCAAACCCCAAACCCTAAACCCTAAACCCTAAACCCCAAACCACAAAGCCGCGTGGTATTGCTCCAGGCTCTCCCAAGCCTGCGGATCCCGCTGTCCATTGACCGCGTGCAACTCCTTGGCCAGGGCTTCTCACCCAAGGTAAGCTGGGAATATATATGGGTGGTTGTCAAAATTATCGTCCCTTTTTGGGTACCCTAAATATGAGGTGCCGTATGAAAGTAGGGACCCAAAAAGGGACCATAATTACGACGACCACCCATACATATAGGGGTGATATTGGGTTATATATATATATATACATATAGAGGTTATATAGGGGTTTATTGGGGTTCTATTGGGATGAATGGAAAAGAAAATGGAAACTACTATACAGGGTTTAGGGTTTAGAAGCCGCTGATTCATCCCTGGAATAGTGGAAAAGACAATGGAAGCTACTATAATGTGGTGATATTGGGTTTAGGGTTCAGGGTTTAGGGTGTTGGGTAGCTGGAAAAGAAGGAATGGAGCAGAAAATGGAAACTACTAGAATGGGTTTAGGGTTTAGGGTTTGGGGTTTAGGGTTGAGAGTTTAGAAGGAATGGAAAACAAAATGGGAACTACTATAATGGGTTACAAAGGGATTACTATCAGGATCAGAAATGCGTGGTTACAGAGGGTCATCGCGGGAATTTTGGGAGGTACAGGATTTAGAGTTTAGTGTTTGGTGGCTTTCATGGTACTGGGTGTGTTTTTGGAAAGTTTTTTCATTTTCCGGAGGATATGTGGGTGAGCTTGATCTTTGTGATTAGAAATTGGTCTGGTGCCAGTTACATTGAGTACAAGACTGTGTTGAATGTGAAGGGTCTAGATCCATGTCATTCAGATTTCTCTGCAACTTGCATGAGACGTGCAACTAGGACTCAGCCGGTTGTTGGGGTTCCAGAGCGTGGTTGCTTCTGCCAGAGACAAGCCCATCAGCCGTCACGGGTTGGTGTTCGTAGTGGTACCCTGACAGGTCTGGGTGCACCATGTCCTGCTGGACAACAGCGAGAAGCAGATGGTGATCGGCTCAGCTTTCAGTGTTGCGTGGAAAATGCACGTAGGTTTTTCTGGGCCTGCAAATGTACTATAGTCGAAACTCTTTCGAGCGGGTTTATTCATGGGTTATTAAAGGGGATGCTAGGACTTTAGACTATAGCCCACATGAGATTATCATCCCGGCAGTATTCGGGCCTTGTCAGCTGTGCACCCACGTTTCCAGGAGACAAACGTGCAACTGGCGAGGGATGACCTGACGGTTGTCTTGACGATGGCTACCTGACTTGCAGCTGATTTCTGCCACAGCGTGTGGGCGATCTCCATGTTACTGTGAGCTAGCTTCCAAAATTGAAATTAGAAAGACCCCAAAAAACCACAATCCTTATTCTAGGGCCCCCAAGAAAGGTACCCCTAATTTTGGATAACCCTAAATCCTATATGCCCCTATAGACCCCTATATAACCCCACATAACCCCATATAACCCCCCCTATCCCCTTTACGTACAGGTACCCCCTCATTTTGGGAAAGCCCCCAGAACTCACGCTAAACCCTGTATCACCCCTATATAAAGGTACCCCCCCCCCCCATGACTCAAGGAGGTTCTGTGCCTTCCCTAAGGACCGTATGCGCCTCAGGGAGGTGAGGCCAGAGCACATCGCATCCTGTCTCAAGGGTTTAGGGTTTAGGGGACTTAGAGTTGCTCTGATGGGTTCTTACCATTATTATATTTAGTCTTATTACTACTACTACGAATGCTATTACTAGTACGATTACTGATATTATTGTTATTATTACTACTACTATTATTACTATTAGTACTATTCCTACTTTTACTACTATTACCGCTATTACTTCGAGTGCGGGATGCATCGAAAATGCCTCACAACCTGCAAGGCAAAGATGCTTGCCGCATCGGCTGGTGACGCGGACGAGGCACGTGAATGCTTCACTGTCATTGCGTGATCACTTGTGAGCCCTAAACCCTAAACCCTAAACCCTGAACCCTAAACCCTAAACCCTGAACCCTAAACCCTAAACCCTAAACCGCGTGCCTCAGGACCTACTGGAAGTTGAGTGGGCTCCTCTGGAGGGAAAATTGGGCAAGGCTGAGGACAAGGCCTGGAAAACTTGCAGCCCAATATAACCTCTACATAACCCCTGAGGATCCTTCTAGATTCCCTAGTTTCCATTTCATTCTCCATTTTCTTTTCCATTTGATTTTCCATTATCCCCATCTAACCCCAATATAACCCTAATTTTCCCCCTACTATAACCCTATATAATCCCTACTATATAACCCCAAGATATGCCCTATAATAATATGTAAGAACGTCTGGCAGCCCAGGCCCACCTTGCTCGGCCCCTCTTCGTGGGATCCAGCACGGAGCTGCAACCCATCCTGGCTCGAGAGTTCCCAGAAGCAAGCTTCGTGGACGGGGAGAAGGCCTTGGGTTTAGGGTTTGAGGATTAGGGGTTTAGGGGTTTAGGGGTTTAGGGGTTTTAGGGGTTTAGGGGTTTAGGGGTTTAGGGTTTAGGGGTTTAGGGGTTTGGGCCCAAGTTGTCCTGGTTTGCTCTTTCGCTCTGGTTCAGGCATTGCTGGAGGAGAAGCTTCAAGGCAGCTTCACTGCGATTGTCCACGTGGCCGCTTTGGGAGAGGCCAATGAGATGGAGGCCCTGGAGTCCGCGCTTTACCTGGCGCAGATCGCTATCCAAAGGGCTGCTGCCAAGTCCAGCACTCCTCCCATTTGGTATGTTACCCATGGCACGCAGTCCGGCACCATCCGCACTTACATGCACTCGGGCTTGTGGGGACTTGCCAGAACCTTCCGTATGGAGGAACGCGGTGTTGAGCTTCGATGCTTGGACTTGGATGGTTCCCTCTCCACATCAGACGCTTTGGCGTCGGACTTGAAGCACTGGCTAACAGTTCTGAAAGGGACCGAGGCGGAATCGGAGGTGGCCGTGACCAGCACCGAGGGCTCAGCAGAAGCCAGCGTCTCCCGTCTGTCCAGAAGCAAGGCAATGCCACTAAAGTCGACTGAGCTCCTCATGTCTTCGCGCGGGAGCCTCTCCAACCTGAGGCACGCGGCACACCAAGCAGCAAAGGGATGCAGTAGCCGGATTGCTTCACGTGCACCTCTCGTGGCGGAGGCCTGTGAACCAAGAGATGCGGCGAGCACCGGAAGCGACAGAAGCGGAGCGGGCTGGGGTTCAGCTGGCAGATGTTTCCGGCTCATCGTTCAAACTTCATCAGTTCAAGTCTGGGATCTGACCTCCAGTGATAGGTGCAAATGCAGACAGTTGCTGTGCGGCCCCAACTTGCAGTTGCCCGAAGGAGCTGCGCGTCCGTGCAGTGGGCCTGAACTTCCGAGATGTGCTGAATGTCATGGGTGCCTTGGTAGTCCTAAGTACTTGGATCATGGAAAATAAAACGGAAACTACTTTTTAGGATAATCCGTGCTGCAAGCTTGCCCCTGAGGTCTGTATCCTGGCATTCCTGGCACATTTGACGTGAAGCCGCTTAGACGGTCTTTTCAGGTTCTATAATCCAGAAAGCGTCAGCTTCCTAGATGTCTTACTATCATTACTACTGCTATTACTATTGCTATTACTATTACTATTGTCATTACCATCACCATTACTATTACGATTGCTGTCACTATTATGGCTGAATAGCCTTGTCCTTGACATCCGAGCTGTTTGCCTTATCAAACAATCTAATCAGCTGGCCAGGGGACCCTGGCCCTCCTGGAGCAGACAGCGCCGGTTCCTCCCTGAGATGATGGACAAACACCGCAAGCAAGTTGGGTGATAGCTGCCTTAGGAGGAAATGCAGTAAAACACATATCATCGCTGCATGTGTTGTCAATCGCATGCATATACAGAGCGCCGATGGCACTGAGGCACCGTGCTCTCAACGGGCAGCGACATCTCCCACATTCGTCGCTTGGTCGCCGAAGATTCGTGATGCTTCGGGCTGTAGGGGGCTTTAAGCACTTCATTGAGGTCGCGGCGACGACGTCTTCGGCGAGTGTCCAGGATGCCTGAAGGTCTACAATGCTGGGCCAGGAGCCCTCCTAACGCCAAAGCCGCGAAGCTGGTCTTTCGAGGAGGTGGGCCGTTCGAATCAGCCAAAATGAACTTGACATGTTTTGTTTGTGAGATGCTGTTTGCAGTTTTTGGCAGGCCTGCTGCATGCCCGTGATCTTCGTGACAGTCGAGGAGGCCTTGGGCGACTTGGCCCAGCTAAAACGGGGAGAGCGGGTGCTGATCCACGCGGCCGCTGGTGGAGTTGGCCTGGTGGCCATCCAGTATGCGCAGTTTGTCGGAGCGGAGGCCCTGGGCTTCCCATTCCTTACAGGGTTTTAGCAGGCTACGCCTGGCCAAGACATGCAGTGGCATGAGCATCAAACCTTGACACTCGGTTCAGGTCTATGCAACGGCCGGCGCGGACGAGAAGCACGAATTCCTTCGTTCTCTGGGAGTCAAGTTCATAACCAGCAGCAGGAATGGCGCCAAGTTTGAGGAAGACATGAAGACCTTCCTGGCAGAGGCGGGAGATGATGGAATTGATGTCGTCCTCAACAGCCTGAGATCTTTGTCTCAACCAGTGCGTCTGAGTTCTGCATGTGCAGGCACGCTCACAGATTTCTGCTGCTGTTCTCGCACTTTTTTTTTTTTTTAATCCAAGGCCACGATGACTACATTCCGCGATCTTTGGCTCTGCTTCGCAAGGGAGGACGCTTCATGGAAATTGGCAAGCGAGGCATCTGGAGCCACGAGCAGATGTTCGAGGCGAGGCCAGATGTGATGTACGAAAAGATCGCCGCGGACACCATGATGGACAAGGAGCCATGGCGATACAACGGCTACATGAAGCGCCTTATCAGTCGTGTGGATGAAGGTCCGCAGCTTGAGCACGAATTCTCTTCAGCATTTTGCAACACATGATAGCAAACAGTGCAGGCTCCCAGAAGTAAGTATGAAACCGCAGCATGAGACAGAACCTAAAAGTCTACAGCCGGATACTGCACTTGCTGTTCTGCTGAACTGCCGCAAGAAAATTGCTGATGTTCGATTTGCAGCATGTTGGTTTCCCGTACTTTCCTTGATGCTTGAATGTAGTGCAGCTACCCAAGACAGGGGCAGACGTATCTGCGAGCAAAAGTGTGTCCCAAAGCCGAGCAACTGTGATCGCAGGTGGTCTCAAGCCCATCAATATGCATGTGTTCGATGGCATGGAGAATGGAGTGAAGGCCATGCAATTCCTGCAGCGTGCACAGAACATTGGAAAAGTGGTCATCAGCCAGCAAAGCACACTGGACCTCAAGCCGGATTCCCACTACGTCCTAAGTGGAGGAATGGGAGCACTTGGAATGGTGACGGCCCAGTACCTCATGGAAGAGGGTGCCAAGTCAATGACCCTCTTGTCTCGAAGCGGACGTCCATCTGCCGACATCACGGAGCTGTGGGCAGCCTTGCAAGACTCCAGCATGGAGCTTCAAGCAGCCCCTTGCGATATCGGTGTTCTGGATGCTGTGCAGGACCTAGCCAAGAAGCTGAAAGGAGACCAGAAACAAACTGCAGGTCTTATCCACCTCGCAGCTGTGCTGGATGATGCGACCATGCCCAAATTGACCCGAGGCCACCTGGAAAGGTCCTATGGGGCCAAGGTTTGGGGAGCCCGGCATCTACGATTTTGCCTACAGGATGGATCTACGCCTTGGGACTTTGCTTTGCTTTTCTCCTCGACCTCAGCTCTTTTGGGCTCACCTGGCCAAGGCAACTACTCAGCCGCAAACGCAGCGCTGGATGGCCATGCCCGCTACTAGGAACTTCAGTGGTACCCTTTTAGCCTGTTGGGTATGGAAGCTACTATTTGGGGTTTATGATTTCTGGGCTACCAAGGCTACTGGAAGAAGTCCTTGAATGAGCCTGTGGTTTCCGTCCAGTGGGGTCCCTGGAAGGAGGTGGGTATGGCAGCCCAGAAAGGCACTGTTGAAAGGCTGCGCGCATCGGGCGTGGGAAGCCTCACGAACGCATTTGGTATGGCTGCCTTGGCTGGTTGTCTTCGATCCCCGCTCTCTACCACAATTGTGGCGCAACCAATGCGCTGGGCCGTCTACTTGAAGCAGTACCCGAAAGTTCCACCATTCCTGTCTCGTTTCGCCAGCGAGGTTGGCTGTTGTCCCAAAGGTTTTTGATCGGATCCATCGGTACTCCCAAAGCTGTGTAGAATGTATCCTGGAAAATTACCCACCCAGAGATGACTCTAGACATACTGGTGGTTAGTAGGGAATTAGGGAACCCAATAATCTCCATATAACCCCCATCTAGATTTTCCCTTATTCCCTACTAGACCCCAGCAAGTAGAGCTGGCAATTCGGATTGCGGACCCTAAGCCCTAAGCCCAGGTGAAGACAGCCAAGCCCAAGAAGGCTGCAGCCCCAGCCTTTGGGGGAGTTCGTGCGGCAGCACCCGCGGCCGTGCCACAAGTGGACAAGGCCCCTTGAGCCAGTATATTGGGGTCATATTGGGATAATGGAAAATAAAGCGGAAACTACAGAGATCATAGGGGTTATATAGGATTTATATAAGAATCAAGTTTCTGGCCTTTGGTTAGCAAGGAATGAAGGACTGGAAAAGAACAGGGAAGCCATCATAATCCATTCCTTCATTCCTAGCTAACCCAAGGCCAGGTTTGGAGGAGATCATGATCTCCTGATATCATGTTCTATATAGAGATCATGGAACTGAAAATGGGAACTACTATTTAGGGCTTAGGCCCTAAACCCTAAACCCTAAATCCTAAACCCTAAACCCCAAAACTCTAAACCCTAAACCGTTGAGACAGGTGTCTCTGAAGCAGATGCTCCAGAGCATCGCTTCGGAGGTTGCTGGTGGTGGAGTGGTGGAGCAAGATGCTCCACTAATGGACTCTGGCACCTCTACCGCAAAAGGCTTAGGGTTTAGGGTTTAGGGTTTATGGTTGAGGATTTAAGGTTTATGGTTGAGGGTTTAGGGTTTAGGGTATTTTTGTCCGAGCTTTCTCATGATGCCGAAGGATGTGTGCTTGTAAACATGTCGAGCAACCTGCAGTAGCTCCAGGAATGGACTCTCTGTCGGCTGTCGAGTTCCGCAACCGCTTCACCAGCAAAATGCCAGGACATCATGTTGTACAACCTCGAAACAAGACAGTGTATAATACAATATAGTATACCACAATATACTATAACATACTATAGTATACTATAATATGCAATAATATTCTACAGTATATTATAGTATACTACAATATAGTATAGTATACTATTGCATACCGTCTTGACCCCAATATAGACCCCAAGATACTATAATCCTTATTATGGGGACCTCCCAAGAAAAGGTACCCCTAATTTTGAGAAACCCCCCATATGCGCAGGAGTCAACCTGCCCAACACGCTGATCTTCGACTATCCCACGATACTGGGTTGCTGTTATATACCCCTTTATAAGTTTTACCTTGAACCCTAAACCCCAAGCCCTAAACCCAAAACCCTCAACCCTAGATCCTAAATCCCA